TAATTTATATATAAATCCATAAATTATATATATACACACACACACACACACACACACACACACACACACACATACACATACACATACACATACACATACACATACATATACATATACATATACATAATAAAATTTCAAAAATCTATTTGACCTTGATTCCAGTTTAGTCTACAAAACTCCAGGCAACCAGGTAGCAAAGGAATTAAGTTTGCCATCCCATTCTTCCTGCACAGCATTACAGTTGTTGTTTCTGAGCCTCTTTTTTCTCTCTCTTTCTTTTGAGTATTCTACACTTGATCTTAGCCAAAAGGCCGAGAAGCGAGTATTCAAAAAATCTGGGCAAAGTATCTGAATAAAAAGACTAATTCCAGCTAATTCCACAGCAAATTCTAGTTAGTTGAGAAATAAAAGTATCTCAGAGTTTCCAAATATCATGTTCTATTATAAGGCAGCAGAAAATTTAGGACAGATTTGGAAACCACACCAAAAAAATAAACCACATCAAAAAAATAGAAATACATTGAATATAACATTTCATAGCAGAGAAGCAAACTTCTTGACTCTAACCTAATTTAAACAACATTCATATCAAACGTTTATTATAGTCAAATACCCAAGTTATTAAATAATGTCTATGCAGGTCTACACTCCATGATTTAACGCACCAAGGAAAAAAATAGTCCTTATCACTTTTCCAAAGAGGAAAGCTACCTTTGTGTAGCCACAATTCACTAACTTCAAAGCGGTAATATAAGAAATCCTATATTTCAATCTTCCACTATTTGAGCTCTTGTTCATCTGGCCTTCAACCATGACATTACAACAGCTCCCCAAATCCCTTGTACCTGAAGTTCTCAAATATATTCACCAGGTTGACCACTGAGGTTTCTGGAAGCTTCTGTTTCTCCTCCATCATCTTTATTCTTCTTTATGGTCTCTTACTTGGAACTTTTCTGAGAAATAGCTGCATAAAAATAAAAATAAAACCTGATAGGACTATATAACCAAGTGAACAATCTACAGATTGTCTCTTTCTCTAGGAGACAAGAAAAGCTTCTTGTAAATTACATCCTATAAACAGGAAGCCTTTGAGGAAGTACTGAGAGCAAAACTGTAAGTGAAAGGATCAAAATGCAAAGCTTCACAAAATATATTTTGTATTAATTATAATGCATTTAAGTTTTCTGTTTGTTTACCATTGACTCTATCTTGATTCATGGATATGGTTCTGTTATATTATTAAGTTTTCATTTATTTATTTATCAACATTATATAAAATCCAGTGTCACAAGAGAGACAAGGAAAAAGAGCTTGCCTGGGGCAAACCATGTTATAGCATTAATTATACATGCCTGCATATTAAATACAATTTTACAGTTTGTAGTTTATCTTTTAAATCGAGACATTGATTTGATACATGAAAATTTAAATCTTTCAAACACAGGGGTGCACCATATGATTACTTCAGGGTATACACTTTGTTTGCATGACAATCTGAATACACAAACAATTCATAAACTATTTAATTGTCTGTTAACAAAACTGTGTAAGTACTTTTGAGCCAGGTTTTAATGGCTTTGTGAAAGGCCATGAGAGTGGGCAGGGTCCGGATCTCTGGGGGCAGCTCATTCCATAGGGCCGGAGCGGCAACAGAGAAGGCCCTACTCCTAGGCGTCGCCAGCCGGCATTGTCCCACTGAAGGCACCCGGAGAAGGCCCACCCTATGCGATCTTATTGGTCTGAGGGAGGTATGTAGCAGAAGACTTCCTTCCTTCCTTCCTTCCTTCCTTCCTTCCTTCCTTCCTTCCTTCCTTCCT